TTTCTTCATGGATGATGTTCTTGATGTCATCCCACAATTCCTCTGGTTTTCGGTCACTGGTGTTCAATGCATCAAATCTATTCTTTAGATGGTATCTAAATTCAGGAGGGATATATTCAAGATCATATTTTGGCTCTCGTGGACTTCTAATCGTCTTCAGCTTCAACTTGAACTTGCATATGAGCAGCTGATGGTCTGTTCCACAGTCAGCTCTTGGCCTTGTTTTGGCTGAAGATGTGGAGCTTCTCCCTTCCCTCTTGCCACAGATGTATTCAATCTGACTCCTGTGTACTCCATCTGGTGAAGTCCACGTGTATAGCCACCATTTGTGTTGTTGAAAAAAGGTATTTGCAATGAATAAGTTGTTGATCTTGACAAATTCTATCATGTGATCTCCAGCAACATTTCTGTCACCAAGGCTCTATTTTCCAACTACCTATGATTCTTCTTTGTTTCCAACTTTTGCATTCTAGTCACCAGTGATAATTTACACATCTTGAATGCATGTTCGGTCAATTTCAGACTGCAGAAATTGGTAAAAATTTTCAATTTCTTCCTCTTTGGCTGTGGTGGTTGGTGTGTAAATTTGAATAATAGTAGTATTAACTGGTCTTCCTAGTAGGCATATGGATATTATCCTATCACTGACAGTGTTGTACTTCAGGACAGATCTTGAAACAGACTTTGTGACAATGAATGCCACACCATTCTTCTTCAATTTTTCATTCCTGGCATAGTAGATCATATGGTTAGCTGATTCAAAATGGCTAAAACCAGTCCATTTCAGCTCACTAAATGCCTAGGATATTGATCTTTATGTATTCCATTTCATTTTTGACAACTTCCAATTTTCCTAGATTCATACTTTGTATATTCCATGGTCTGGTTATTAATGGATATTTACAGCTGTTTCTTCTCATCTTGAGACATGCCGCATCAACAAATGGGGGTCCTGAAAGCTATCCTCTATGCACATCACTAAGTTTTGTTCTACTCTGAGGAGACAGCTCTTCTCTAGTCATATTTTGAGTGCCTTCAGACCTGAGGGGCTCACCTTCCTGCACTATATCGCAGAACGTTTCCCTGCTATTCAAAAGGTTTTCACTGGCCAATTCTTTGAGAAGTGGATGGCCTTCTCCTTCTTCCAAGTCTGTCTTAGTCTAGAGGCTCCCCTGAAATCTGCCCACCATGGGTAACCCTGCTTGCCTTTAAAACACTGGTGGCATAGCCTCCAGGCTCACAGCAACATTCAAGCCATCACAGTAGGACAAACTGCTCTGCTCATTTCCTGGTCTCCCTCACCCTGCTTCCTTCCCCAGCCTGCCCCAGGGGCAAACACCTGCCCTTTGTTGGTCCCGGGGCTCACTTACTGTGGCCTGTAGCCCGGCGGGAGGGGGGTGGCAGCTCTGGCTTCACGTACCACTCAAACACCGCCCACTGCTGGTCCCAGGGCTGGTTTGGGGTGTTGTTGTTATGTGCCATCCAGTCAGACCCAACTCATAGTGACCCCTCCTTGGGTTTCCAAGGCAATATCACTACAGAAGTAGATTGCCCAACCTTCCTTCCAAGGAATGGTTGGTGGGTCTGAACCACCAGCCTTCTGGTTAGCAGTCAAGTGCCATAGGCACTACTCTGGTGATGTAATAGTTAAGGTATTTGGCTGCTAACCAGACTGTCAGTGGTTCAAACCCACCAGCTCCTCTGCAAAAAAATAAGACAAGGCAATCTGCTTCTATAAAGATTTACAGCCTTGAAAATCCAATGGGGGTCGTTGTGAGTCAGAA